GACAACCACTGATCTTTTCACTGTCCCCATAGTTTTGTCTTTTCCAGAATATCATACAATGGGAATCATACAGTGTATGGCTTTTTTGGATTGGCTTCTTCCACTTAGTGATATGCATTAAGTGTCCTCCATGGTTTTTCATGGCTTGATAGCTCATTTCTTTTTAATGCTGCCTAATATTCCATTGTCTGGATATGTCACAGTTTATTTATCCATTCATATATTGAAGGACATGTTGGTTGCTCCCAAGTTTTGGAAATTATAAATAAAACATCCGTGTGCAGGTTTTTGTGTCAATATAGGTTTTCAACTCCTTTGGATAAATTCCAAGGAGCCTGATTGCTTGATATTATGGTAAGAGTATGCTTAGTTTTGCAACAACAACCAAACTGTCTTCCAGAGTGGCTCTTCGTTGAGTTTCATCACAAATTTCATTGGTGTAGGGAATAGCAAAAATTTTTTTTAAAAATTCAGAGCAGAGTAGTTAGTTCTAAGCCACTAGTGGTTCAAAGAAGTAGCATAGTTGATGGCAAAGATAGTCATGGCTCCTCAAAGGATATTTCTTACCATAGTTAAAAGTGGTTACTAGGGCTCCCTTCTAGATGTTTTGTAATATTTAAATGTTGAAATATTAAAATAAAATTTTAGTAGAGGATGTGAAGTCTTTGGAACGCTGGGGCACTGGAACTTGTAGCACTTCCTGTTCACTGGAACCTCTGCAAACCAGTCTTAACACTCCCTTCTGTGTTCTGAAGATACTAAACCAGTTTAAGTTGGGTTTTCCATTATTTGCAACACAGGTCCTAACTGATATTACAAACAACAAACACAAAAACTGGCTTAAGCAATAAAGGGGATGTATTAGCTTATTTAATAGGGAAGTCCAGCTGTAGTTCAGACTTCAGGGTTGGTTTGATTCAAGGGCCCAGTGATGTTGTCAAGAACATATTTCTTTCTGTTCATCCTGTCATCTCTTATGGTGTCAGTTCCACTGTGGGGCTGGCTTCTTATATGATGTATTACATTATACATTCAGAAGGAAAGAAAGAACTTCTTTCCCAGAAGCTTCCAGAAAAAAAAAAAAACACCAAAAAAGTCTCTAATCCCACTATCTTAAAATGGGTCACATGTCAAGTCCTGAACTGTGGCCAGGGAGTACAATTATCCTGATTAGTTATACCTAGAAGTGGAGTTAGTGTCTCATGAAAGCCATGTCCTGGCTGAGAGACATGTGCCCAAGAGAGCAAAAAATCAGGTTAACAAGAGAAGGGGAAATGTGCACAGGTACGCATCATACTGCCTATTTTCTTTTAGGTTTATAGGTAATATTCCTCCCTGAACTAGGGTTCTGTAATATATTTCAAAGATATAGCTAAGAAGAAAATAAACTTAGACCAGATGATATCACCTACATATAATGTCCCATTGTTGTTAAAAAATATTTTTCATTATATCCATTTTCCTGTCTATGAACTCACATTTCAACTTACATTTCTGTTGATGAGAGAAGTTTCGTCAGCAGCTGCAGATAACTGCTCTGTAAATTATCGTTTTAAGGGCAGTCCAGTTCCCAGTCTGCACCTCAAGAAAACCCTTTTCCTTTATTCTAGGAAAAGGTATTACTGTCTTGAAGCATGAGGTGAATTCTTTTCAGTTTGAAAATACAATCCTTCTTTATCAGAATGAAAAAATAAAGGCCTAGTGGCTGTTGCAGCCTTTTGCCTGTATGTGAATTTAAAGTTCATTTTATCTATGGCAGAAACACGCCTAATTAATTTGGCATTGTTTTCTATGTACCTTTTCTTGGAAGGAGATCTAGTTTGATACATGAACACCTAATTAGTAAGTTAATTTCACTCCCTATATATGCTTTGTAGTTGTCCTATTAGAATTAGGGGGAAATGTCATAGTGAATTCTGCAATTCCTCTGGTTATTTCAATCCCTCAAAAGAGATATTTATTATGTTCTCAGAAATGTGTTGCACATTAAGTGCAATGTATCATCTATGCCCTTCAGGAGGTTGTCTGGCTGGAGAGATGAGCCATACACTTTCAAAATAGTTAAGGACAGAGCAGAGCAGTGTAGAATTAAAGATCACAAGTAGTGTCCTGGCCAGAGTTGCTCAGTAGTTAGAGCATCCTCCTGTATACCAAAGAGTCTCGGGTTCAATTCCCAGTCGAGGGCATGTATCTGGGTTGCAGGTCCGATCCCCTCCCCTGGTCAGGGTTGGTGTGGGAGGCAACCAACCCATGTGCCTCTGTCACATCGATGTTTCTCTCTCTCTCCCCCTCCCCGATCCTTATCCCTCCCCCCTCCCTATCCTTTCCCCTCCTTTCCACTCTCTGTAGAATCAATGGGGTTGGGGGGAGATCACAAGTAGCACTACAGAGAGTAAAGGTCACAGGAAAACAGTGTAAGGATGGTGGCGGGGAATGAAGATAAGGTCACTCTAGAAGGCTGAGGAGGATCCCTAGAAAAGGAGGGCTTGAGTTGGACCTTACAGAATGGTTAGGTTGGGTAGATAGGGAAAGGACATTCTGGGCATGTAAGAATTGTTGATGGACCAAAGATGAAAAGAAGCATTTGAGTTTCAAAGACTGAGAAGAACCTCTCCTCCTAAAGGAGGCGGATACATGTTGGAGAATAGTAGGCGGTAAGGCTGGCTACAAACTAGGTCAGATGCATGAAGAACTTTGAGCCCTGTGCCAGTGGAAGCTCCCCTTCAACATCTGATGAGAGGGTGATGATAAGAAAAAGCTAAAACTGCCTGGTTGAAGGGAGAATAGCCAAGGGCAGGCTGACCAGTTACAAACCAGGGCAGGAAGCCAGTGGTGAGACCATGGGCAGCAGCAAGAGGAACGAGCATCTTCCTTCTTCAAAGGGTTGCACTGAAAGAGGAGAACTCAGACTTGATCTTGGTTCCCAATCTTGTAACAGTGTGAGCAGTGGGGCTGAATTTAAGGTCACAGTGGGGCACCAAGTGAAATCATCTTGCAAACAGTTATGGGGGTGAGACACACTCAAGTCAAATTTGGATATAATGCATTTGGAAGTAGACTTCTGGATCTGAAGAATTACTGCCAGCTAGCTGCACAATTTCTCTCCATTATTTCAGTAGTTTCTCAGTCACCTGATTGAATTTTCTGGATGCTACTTATAGGATCACTCTCCTTCCAGAAGCTTCTTTAACAGACAGATCCAACCAGAACATTTAAGCAAATAATGCTAACTATGGCCTTAGTGACCTAAAGGAAATATTGCAACTTTCAAAGAACCTGATATCCATCCAAGGAGAGTACGGCTCCTTGGTGTATTTATTACTGTGTAAGTGTAGCATGACCTGTTACTTATTTAATATGGAAAAAACACCCAGTCCAAGCACACATATGTGCCTACATGTCACCAAATTCTAGATCTATGTGGTCTCAAACTTCAGTGCCTATTAATCTAGGATTTTTTATTTAAAATGCCGACCACTGTTTCTGCTAGAGCCCTGAAATATGCATCACTAACAAGTCCCCCAGGAAATATTTTGCAAAAAAAATATTCTTTGGAAAAGTACTACCTTAACTCCCAGGTGTTAAGCTCTCTCAGCCAGTGTGCCTCGCCCATCTTAGGTGTCCAATAAACTGTATTGAATCAATGTATTCTCAGTCCTTACAGCCTTAAGTCACATATTATAATTTCTTGGATACCTAAACATATCAAGCCTTCCAAGGAAAAGCCATCATTTGAGTTATCCCACATAAGAGACTAGCCAATTGCTATATACATGAACTTGACTTGAAGTCAGCCAAGTCTGGGGCTTAGCTCTACTTTCTGGACAAGTCATTAGCCTCAACCAAAACAATTATCTTTCTTCATTTTTCCCATTTACCACACTAGCACACTATATACAGTATGTCTCCATTAGGGGTGAGGAGGGGTGTTAAAAGATGACAAAAAACTCAGTATCTCATAAAACCCAATGTAAATATGAATTATAATGTATACATTTCTTCTAATTTACTACAAATGGGATCTCTAGATCTTAAGTTCCTCCCTATATGATACCGGTCCTTAAATACTGAGCTAAGCTCTGAAGACAGTTTTTGAATCCTTGCTGGTATTTTTATTTTTGCTGGTCCTTTAGTACTATTGTGACATATTTATTGACTTATTAATTTACTGCATTAATTTAAAATAAAAATCTGGCAATTTAAATTAAATAATACATTATGTGACTTTCAATACAAATTTTTTCAACCCAGAAATCATCAAAGGCTTCAAAAGTATATTTTACCAGTGAGAAATTTATAAAAATTTCATATGAAGGCTTTGCTTTAAAGTCTGCTAATATGAATTAATAAAACAAATAATTCACAAAGGACTTTTCATATTTCTCCTAGGCTTCAAAGTACATTTTCTTTTAAAGGTATTTAATTAACTCTTTGCTTATTCATGTTTTTTGTTCCTTCTTTCCAAAGCATTTTAATCAGAGATAGTTGTCTGTAGGTCTCTAAACATATTTTAAAACCTCCAAAACTGATTATGTAAATCATTTTTATACAGAATTTTATAGAGTCCAATTTAGTCTGCAGAGTGACTTGCAAGAAAACAATGTTGGATTGATATTTTATAAGCATAACTGATACCCATGATTTTACTCTCCCACCACTGGATATAACTTTCTTAAATACTGAACAATGTAATATAAACACTAGGGGATAGAAATTCATCTAAATTGTGCATCCTATAAATGTCCCAACATTTGTGCCCATTTATAAGCTTAATATCTTCTCAGGCATCTTCTCTGAGTAGCTACTTCATATTTTTAGTTGAATCCATAACCCATCAAGCAGATATTCAAGTACATTTATGAAAATACATAGATGCTTAGATAGATAGATATCCCAGACATGAAAATTCTTGTGGTGGGTAAAGAAAATATAATACTTTAAGAGATTTTAAAAGTAGTTATTTCCTGATGTCTTTTTTCTCCAAACATTAGACGAAGTTGCATTGTTTACAAAAATTTATTCATACAAATTTTACACACTTCATATAACAGTTATCAAAGTCCTAGTTATAGATATCATGTGTGTAATAATACTTGGTTATGATGTTTTTATAATCATTTGCACACAAAATAAGAGCTTTAAGACTAACATCTACCTAAATTATCACTATATCATAAGTCTGCTTAGTAAGGCTCTTGGCATTTCTAAAAAGTATACAAAAGATTAAACTGGATGATCACTGTAAATGCTTGCAACTAGCCACGGAAACACTAAATTAGACTTCATAAATGAAAGGTTAACTAGAGCCCTATTTCACCACTAACAGCTGACACAAATACAGAAAATTCTGCCCATTGTCCAAGAAACAAATAATTAAGACTAAAATGCAAGCCGATGTGTTGCAGCATTGTAGGGCCACTAAATAGCCATCTGTGATTCGTGGCGATTTAAAAGGCGAAGAAAGGCACTACAGCTGCAAACTGTGTCCCGGGTCACATTGCCTGAGGAGACAGCAGAATTAAAGAAAGATTGATCCCGTACACAGGACTCAGGCATAGATCGAATGCCTCTGTGCTTTCACTGTTTGCAATGTGATCTCCTGGCAGCATCCATCCCGCCTGGGAATGCAAATTCAATTCTGTTTTCTTTGATTTATGACTTCGTACTGATCAAATCCGTAACGGAAAAGGAAAGGTCCTTTAAACTTTACAAGCTAATGTTTAATCTTTTCTTGTTCTTCTTTTTATTTTTTATTTTTTCAAAAGAATTTGTGCCTGAAATCTGGGAGTTTGTCTGGTTTGCGTGTTGTTGCTTGATCTGGTTGTTGGGTGAAGGTTCTTTTGTTTATAGAGATTATTCAGTATGTTCCAAAAATTGATAGGAAACAGACAGACATGCTTTCTGTAGCCAAGAAAGGATACAAAGGGAAGTTCTCAGGGTCTGTTGGAGCTTGCTTACCTTACTCTTGACCACAAATATAAGATAGTACTCATACATAAGATGAGGTTTAAATGATTTATCAGTTAGTAAAACTGAGCAACATGTGAACACTACACATTCTAATATGACAAAGGTTGGTTTTATGAAATAAATTTTACTAAGCAATAAGCCATAATGTAGAAAAATACATTTTTACCTACAAACTCAATAAACAAGAAACAAAAGGTTCATATTTAGTGCATCATTACTTAGTGATAGCTACATAGGGTTTCCTAAACTTTACAATAAGTGCTTGCATCAAACAACAAAAAAGTAAGACACGTTCACAAGTTTAAGAGAAGTGAATGAAAATGGTAAACAGTACTTAAACAGTGCTAGAGGGTAGGGAGGCGGAGTCTTCAGAAAAACCACAAAAGAGAAGGGTGGCTCCTACAGAGCAGGGTTCAAAGGGGAGGATCCTGGCCATTTCACAAGATGAGAAGCGTGGACAGCACTGGAGAAAAACACATTGTACTTTGCATCCATTTCAAACACCCAGCACCCAGTCAGTCAGTCAGGCTGGGGACCTAAGGTGGGGACTCAGCTTACCCCCAGCATCCCAGAGCTGGGGCAGCCCCAAAACAGTCCCTCTCCAGGGTCCTCCTCCTACTGCCTTATGCTCTGCCTCTTCCAGTTTACCTGCATTTCTTTTACTTTGTTCCAATTGTCCTAACCTTGGGATATTGGGTTTCCTGGAAGTACAGAAAAGGGAGCTTCCTACCGAAGTCTCCCGTCTCTGTACAATCTCCCAACTCTTGCCCCAGGGAGTAGTGTGAATTCTGGGGAGAAGCACAATTTAGATAGAGCTGTTGTTTAGTCGGGAGAATTTCCTTCTGGGCTGAGAGTCTAAAGAGAGACAAATACACGTAAAAGTAGAATCAAAGAAAGCAGAAGTATTAGAATTGTCCCCCAGGGAGGGGGACAGTGCTTAGTTGAGTTGGGCTGGGATTGAAGCAGCCTGCCCCAGAGACTCACCGGGGGAGAATGTCATACAGCACTTCTCTCAAATTATTTCCTCAGAATCTCCCTGAAGCGGGGCGTCATTGTTTACGTACAGTAACAAATGATCAGTATTAAAATCTTCAGGCCTGTCGTGGATAAAAATACTATCCTTTTAATTCCAGTTTACAAAAATAGGAGTAATATTCAAAACAATGATTGTCTATTTTTCTATTTTATATAAATACATAAACAGCTCAGGTGAATTTCAATCCTTGTGCACATTTTTATGAACTGCTCTCTATTATACTTATATATATTCTTAAATATATATATTTATAATATATATCAATAATTGGTCCACAAAGTATATCTGTGCATTCTCTAGTGCTTTGTAAAAAGAAAAACAATATTATTATCAAAATATTCATTTAATGGCTTTACTTCATACATAAATACATGTTTGGATAGAACACACGAGCGATGACTTCCAGTTTGTTGGAAAAATGACTTTTCATTGCGTCAGGGTTGTATACACAAGGTAGCCGGTAACTCATCGCTACAAATACGCTATTCGGCGTCCTTTGTTTTTAACCCTTTGTTTATACCTTTTCCCTAGGACCGCAGCCAAGTATTTCCTGACAGCCATTTGTTTCCTGTAGCGGCTGTAGCTGTCGGTGAAGATCCCGTCCGAGTGGCGCTTGGAGAGCGGGTCTGAGTCATCCTTCACGCCGCCGCCGCGAAAGCCTCTGCAAGGACAAGGGTGGGGAGGGGTGGCGGGGCGCGAGGCGCGGGCTCAGGAGCTGCGGGCGCAGGCGGGCCCCACCCCACGCGGGAGCCCGGAGCGAAGGCCGGAGCTCGCACCGCCCCCGCTCGGCCCCCTCTAGCTGGGAGGGCTGGAGGCAGAGCTGCGAGGGGAGCCTCGCTCCTGCCTCCCCACCGAGCCTTTCCTGGCACCGCGTCCTGACGCAAGGGGCCCTGGCAGAGGCCGGGGCCAAGTGCACGCGATTTCAGCCTAACCTCTGTCCATCAGGTAGGACCGTCCTGTCCGTGAGTTCGCGCTGAACCGTCCTAACAGAAAATAACGAAAGAGCCCTAAATGCCAGGCCGGCTGCTGCCGTGGACTTCGCATCGATCGTGCCCCTGCTACCTAGTCAGACGCAAGCACTCTCCTTCGGCATGCTAAGTTGAAAAACGTGATAATAATACAAGTCGACAGACTGTAGGCAATATTTTTCATCACATGAATTATTCATTACGAAAAATGCAATCTGTTTCCCCACGGGCTTTATTAAAATACTGCCTGCTGCTGAGAGATGCTCCACGCAAGCCCAGGGCTCTGGGAAGGTCTAGCGCGAGCAAAAACTGTTTGTCTCCCTAAGTGTCCAAATTTGAAGGTCTGTTGGTTTCCATCTGAACTTACAAAAAAATAATTTTTTTAAGTCGAACTTAGAGGAAGTTCTGGCAAATCGTCCCGCGAAGCTTGAAGGTTTCTGAATAACGGAGGGGGCTATTTGGTTTCTCTTTTTTTCATTCAAAACGGATCAAAGTCCGTGGTTTTCCTGCCCTCTCCTTTTTCCTCTCGGATCCCCGAGCTCCCTCTCCAAATTTCAGGTACCAGAGTGGAATCTCCGCCCCGCGGCTGGCCCCGCGGACCCTGGGACCCCGCGGCGCAGGCTCGCCCGCAGCCCCACGTGC